GCACAGCCGGGGCACCCAGCCCACCCCACACAGCCGGGGCACCCAGCCCACCTGCCACGTGTCCACAGCCAGTCTGGAGACAGACACACAGTTCAGGGCTTGCTACACCCCAGAACCGCAGGCTACACATCATTTTGCAGATTGCTTCCCCCCCCTGCACCTCAGAGCTCTCAGGGGCCGGCACAGCCAGAGCTGGGGGGGTTCTGAAGCGCCCGCCCGCAGGACACCCTGCAGTGCTCCGCAGGCACGCAGCAGCGACAGCATCCTGTTTCCCTTATGCTGTGTAAAAGCAGAAAAAAAAACCTAAAGCACTGCTGATAATGGGTGTGCACCCCGCTCCATTTCCTGAAGCATTTGATTCTTTGAACAGAAAAATGAGTTCTCTCCAGCTGGAAAATAAATCATTATCCGCTTCCTTTGGTAATTCACAACACACTGTGCATTTCTAATCTACTTCAATGTTAATATTTGGAGTCTTTTCCCTATTCAACTACGCTCAAGAGTAATTTCTGTATTTAAAACTCACAGCCATACTGATTAGAAGATGATCACATTTTTATTTGTGAGAAATAAGTTTTACCTGTTACATCAGAAACCTGAAGTCCCAATAGAGATAAGGCAAACCCACACCAGCTCATTTCACACCAGAGACCAACAGGATATTTACGACTATATCAGCTTAATCCCATTCTTTACAGCTTTCTAGATAGTTAAAGAGACATCTTCTCATACCAAAACATGAAAATGTGTTTTGAACATGCTCAGCAAAAAAATAAAGTCTATTAAGATGTGAAATAATAGGGAAAACAGTGATACTGGGATGGGTAAGCAGTATGGGTTTGAAAGACATGAGACTCTGTGTAAGGTTATTTCAAAAGGCAGTCAATGTTTATCACAGAGCTCAAACCAGAGCTTGATGAACAACTGGCTTTTGATCATTTACTATTTCACATAGAAGACTGGAATCTAAACTTTGTTAGACATACATAATTTAATGGTTTATGTATTGGGATTGTAAAAGCCCCACTCTGAAACTGAACACAGGAAGGAGTGCGTTTTCCTAACTCAGCAGAACATGGCTTTAATGTTCAAAAAAGCTTGGATTCAACAAGTAACACCCCCCTAACATAAAATAAATAAATGCATTTTAATAGTTAAATCCAATCACTGAAGTAAAAACGAAAGCAACAGTCTCTATTGTCCGAGGGACTTGACCAGCTTACGGTGCAAATTCCCCTCCAGCGAGAGCAGCCGAGCGGAGCGCTGGGCTCTCCTAATGGACTCGTGGTACCAGGGATTTCTGCAGGCGTAATCCCTACCTACATGACAATCAGTCTGGCGTAAACAGAAGTTCAGCTTGTTAAACTGAGGAGGGAACCAAAGCCATTCAAAGCCAGGTAACCGGGACACGGAGCCATCAGCACCCTCACCTACACCACACGTTTAGAAATACAAACCCCGTCAGGTTGTTCCAGTTACAGGAGCTGGGGCCTGAACTGGGAACAGGGTGAACAGTTTTCTTCTGTCAAACAGGACTGAATGCAAAACGTGTGAATGTAACTTTTCCTGATTTTAAAAAGGGATTTAAACAACCAGAATGCTGTTTAAAAAACAAAAAAACAACCGAAACAACCAAACCCAACCTCGCGGCACTAGCTAAGCCTCTTCCAAAGTCTTTCAATTATTTAATTCATACAACTGTGTGATCTCCTTTCCGTTCCAAAACAGTTTTCCAAAAAAGGACTATTAATACTAACGACACTTGAATTCCAAAGCACAGTCAGGTCAACAAGCTGCACATGTCCTTTCTATTTACAGTTCAAGTTCATCCACTCGGATGCTGACCCGAACGCATGCGCACGGCTCAGAGGGCACAGAGTCCACCACCGCTGCTCCTGCACCCCTGAGACCTCACAGCCGACCTCTGGGAAACGTCACGGCTTTGTACTTCCATTTCCACTTCCTGCATTTGGGAAAAGCAATGCCGGTCCCCGTTTGGGAGAGCAAGGTTAGTCTCCAGTGTAAGGCAGCTGGAGAGCTGCTAAGAACAGCGTTATCCGCCAGTTCAGCTATTATTTTTCCTTAACTTTGAGGGAAATAAAGTACCGCCAAAGCACAGTGAAAGAAGAAAATGCAAATACTGGAAAGAAGTTAAAAGGAGGAAAAAAAAAAGGTTTTTTCAACCAACTCCCACCATGTCCAAAGACTGTCAGCACTCCAGCACCTGTGAAAACCTCACTATGCTCGTTACCAGCTGTTGGAGCTCAGATAACAATGTTAAGGAAACTTACCTCAACACAAAACTTTGCTATACAGCAAACAGTCTTCGAACAAAATTTTACTCATAAATTCCTGTATGTTTACTTGCAAACACATTTGAACCAGTTGCAAAAGAAAAAAAAATTCTACTTACATCTTCAGTGTCCTTAACCCGTAAAATCTGTTCCCGCAGGTCCTGTAAGTCGTTAAACGTGGACTGTGCTGTTATAGAATATACTAGTGCAAACCCTTGACCATTCTTCATATAGAGATCCCTCATTGCTGTAAATTGTTCCTGTAATCAAATATTTTAAAAAGCAATTAGCTAGTGAATGCAGATAATGAAGATTTACGAAGGAATACTTCTATTGTAAAGGAGATGAGAATACAGTCCCATACAGCATTTACATTTTTACCCCTTACAGCGATCCACTGAAGCATGCAAATTTAATAAAGGCATTAACACATCTCTTTCCATTTCCCCCCTAATAGAGAAAAAGGCTTCTTGAAAAAAATGGGAAAAAAATCAAGAGCAGCATATATCTATTTTTATACATAACCACAGACAGACTGTGGTATGCCCCAAACCATAGTACAAGGTGTTAAGATTTGGCTGACGTATTTTGTAGTGATCTTCCATTTATTTTCTGATACGGTGTTAAGCACGAGCCTACCATCAAACCAATTCCCCAGACCACAGCCAGGGTCTGGAAGTTTGATTTCTCCTCTAACACGATACTGAATCAGGCCCAGGTGTCACACACCGCATTTATTGTGAGCACGGCCACGTGGGAAGGCGCTGCCTGGCCACCTCTGAGCGCACGCCGTTATGCACCCATCGTCTCTAGCAGGAAAATGGCTTCAAGGGTGGGTGCAATGCAAGAGCAGGCTGGAAAACCCACACCAGGTGAGAGCTGCCTTTGTCCACGCCCGTGCACCAGCACTCCTGCCCCCACGCCTCCGCGTTGCTGCTGATCATTTCCAAAGCTTTCTACATAAAGCAAACTTTCAGGAAGCGTGTCCTCCCCTGTGGCGGGCACTCAGCCACCCCACGGTCTGTGTGCTCGGTGGCAGGGCTTGGCGCGGCGGGCAGGGACACCGACCCAGCGATGGGAGCTGCTGGCGGGACCAAAGGACGAGGTGGGTGTCCCGGAGCAGCGCACGGCAGGGCCAGGGAGCTGCCGCCGGTGTGCAGGAACACTCCTGGACAGGTACAAATCTTCCCTGCACAGGGTGATGGGAGGCGATCCCTGTGCGCTGCCTGGAAGTGGCTTCCACCTGTGTACTCCAGCCAGCTGCAAAACTAACGTGTGAAATTGTCCCGTATCAGGATGTTGGCAGCGAGAGGGCGGTGGATGGCAGAGGAGAGGCGAGCAGTACAGGATCCATCACGCTGTGCGTCCCCGGCTGGGAGAGGGCTTCACCCCGCTGCTGGCAGGCTGCAGAGGGCTCATTCGCTGGGTTCAGGGTTATTTAACCAAACTGTTCACATTGAATTATTGCAGCTGATCTACTGTTTTTGCTTGGGCAGGATTATTATACTAGAGTAAGTTCTACTCTTCACCTCACCTCCTTCTCATCAAAGGAAGCCCATACCGATCAGAAAAAGGAACTGCACTCACCGTCCCTGCGGTATCGAGGATTTCAAGCATACACTGTTGACAGTCTACTTCCACTTGCTGGGGAAAAAAGGGAAGAGACAAATGCCGTCAGAACTAGATAGTCTGAAATGGGACAGGCAAGGGGAATATCAGCTTAATTTTTACTTCTGCAGCAAAGACCTCTAAAAGCAAGGCAGCCACCTGCCCTCCCCAGCGCTGAGAGGCACTGATGGGAGAGGATTAACTGCGCCCCGAGCCAGGCTCGGGTCAGCTCACTTGTGCTCCAGGACTCTTGGTTATAAAGGCGTAAATGAGCAGCTCATTGCAAACATCTCAGCTGAAGTGAGATAAAATCAACTCTTACTAATCAAAGGACCTTAAACTTCATTTTTTCTTTGCTGGTGGGGAAGAAGGGAGTAAGGAAGAAAAGAAAAAGCAAAATATTGAGTGATCCTGACACTTAGGCTTAGCAAGTCTTCTGTTCACTGAGAAATGTCTCAGATCCCACCAGGGTAATTCCAGGAAAGTCAAATAAATTTAACAGCAGAACTCACACCACAATTTACATTCAATCATCACAGGCACAAATGTTTGAAGTTGGTGTTTTCTGTTTTGGTGCCTTTAATTATGGTAACATGTATGCTAATCTGTGGAACAATGGGTTACTTGACATCAATCCAGCGAAGAAAGCAGCTCTGTTGATGGAATTACTAATGACAGCGTCAGGGATCCTGACAAGGGCTTTTGCTCAGCAATTACAATTCTGCATCCAAAACAGCTGTAAAGAATTTTATATGCCTTCAAGCCAAGCAGAACACGTTTGAACTGAATGGCAAAACAGCCATTCCTAAAATAAATCAACAAAATGCAATAGTGATGCTGCAGTCACATCCCCTCCTGTGATGAGCGGTGTACATGCCCCCTGTAACAACTTCCACCGATAGCGTACACACGGCCAATGTTGGTAATTTTCTGGTTTGAATTAATAATTATATGTCAGATTACAGCAAAAAGATCTGAGCAGCAGCCTGACCCTGGTCTGGTTGAGCTGTTCCCATCCCCAGGCATCAAGGACAAGCGTGCAGTTTTATGTAGCCGTCACATCTTCTCAGAAAAGACCCTTTCTTGTTTTGATAAGCTTTTGTTGCATTATTAAAAAGAAGCAAGCTCTCTGAGACTTGCAAGAAATAAAAATGATGTTATTTTACCTTTCTGTACGAATCTTCTATTGTTGGGTCATATTTTTCAACAAAAATTCCCTGAACGAACTGTACAGTCTGGAGAGAAAGGAAAGGAGAAAAAATATTAAGTGAACTGAGCACGGCCAGTAATGTTTATTAAGAAGCACTTTATAAAAAAGTAACAACACAAAAACTACTCAACACTGCTGTTAAAATTCAGTAGTGCAGAGCAGAGAAAGAGACATACAAATTTTAGATTTTTTAAAAATAAAATTAGTGGAGTTTCTGTTAAGAACCACTTAATTCAAGCACGTTTTCAAAACTTTTTTGAAATATAAACGGCTTGCTTGTGCTTTCATAAAAGATGATACCCTCAAAAATGCCTTTACTTCAGTGCCTGCGACTTCAGAAGAATAAAAATCACCAAATATGGAAGACTTGAAATTTAATCAGAAGAACTGGCAATCTGCACACTGTGGAAAAGTACATTGCTGAAAATCCTCATTTCAGTTCAATCGCAGCAGAGTTCCAGCAGAGCCACCCTGCCCAGAGCACAGACCTATTTCAGAGCAGCAACTCCAATCTGGACTGTCTCCAGATACCCAATTTGTATTATAACCATTAAAGAAGGAGACATCATTCATTTCGAAGAGGAAGTTTTTCTTCCCCTATATAATTATTCAAAGCAAATGTACTCGAAACACTTCCCATCAAGCTGCCACTCGGCCGTGGCCCATCTCTGGACGGGGCGTGCTCTGGCTCCCCCAGCTTCACCTGTCCTCCGGAAGGCAGAGCTTGCTGTTCCTTTTCGCCCTGCATCCCCATCCTCTCACCTACAATAATCCACAATAACGCAGTGACGCAGCACAGGAGGTCTGGTTGATGTTTGTACAACCAGGTGGTGTCTGTTTGTAAAACTAAGCCCCCAAGATCCCTGCACTGAATTTTGTCTCTTTAAAATCAACAAGCACACCAACTGTCTTTCGCCAGCTCATCTTTCCACAAGTTTTTAATACAAATTCTGCAAAGTTTCCACCAGTTTTGAGAAGCTGTATTCTGTTTGGACAGAAGGCTGAGATTTTTCTGCAAGAGGGTTCACATCCGTCCGACAAGCACCTGCAAACTCTCAGAGCGGCACGTGCCAGACACGGGCAGAGCATCTCTCTGTATTCTGGAGACTGAGCTGTTCCTCATGGTTTGCTTTCTTTTAATACAAGAAAAGATTTCCAGTTCTACCTCATTTAAAAATCTTCCTGTATCACTAAATAAACCTATTTTACACTCTGATGATCAAAGCATTTGCTTCTTCAATCTCTTCTTGTCACACTGAAGAGCTGTCCCAGTCCACCTTCCAGACAACAGATCTCAGCAAAATCTTTATCAGAAGAACTGCAGGGTACAGATGATATTTTTGGATTCTTAGCACAGCTGGTAATCAAAGAGGGTCCAAGGAAGGCTGCTGTTTGCCAGGAGGCTAACACTTGAGCCCTGAAGTTGGTCGCATCTGTACTGCTCTATTCTGGGAACCGCATCTGTGACCCAGCCTTCAGCGCAAGAACCCGACAAACCTCACGGACCCAAGACTTTTATCACTTTCTCTTAGTTTGGGGGTTCTGGTCTCAACTTTGACTCTCCAGAAGATTTTTCACTCCCATCAGAATTGGGGAGAAAACTACTGCACAGGAAACACTTACAGAGAAGTTGCAAAATCACTGTGCCTTAGTAACTGCGAAGGGTTTTCTGCTATGCTGCCCTCCTTGCCGAAAGGCAGAATCAGCATCACACTGGCACAGAAGAGTTAAAACAATGAGGAGGATTTGCAGTGAAACAACACCATATTGTAATCTACACTCACACTGTAAAAACACTGAACTGAAAACAAACACCAGGCTCTTTGTTAGACCTTTCAGCTTATACAGTTCAAAGAAAGACATTTTAAAGTGACCTCGGTATTATTTTAAATCCCACCCTGTAACCTCTCCTTGCTAAGGCTTGTAAATAAGTAGACAGTCATCTGGAAAGCTAAATATTATTCACTCTTAGCTGCTAATTGGCACTTATTGTGTCCTGTTATAAACATAATGGATCAATGTTGCATATGAATTACAATAGATGCTTACTTAGCACCAGTCTGTCAAAAAGAATTTGACTTCTGTTTACCAGAGGAAGAATTTGCACCTCTGCTTTTAAAAAGCCCAGTGATGGATGCTGACTCAAGCTTCACATCACAAATATGGAAATTCAAGTATGTCAGATGCTGAATAATTTTCATGTACAGCGTATCAAGACGTGCCCTATTTCACCTAGTGAGTCTTCCAGTACTACATTACAAATGCAAGATACTCAACCAAGGGGATGCTGCTGGTAAAAGTAACCCAGAGACTTAAATTGCTGTGGAAGAACAGTGTATCAAAAACCCTGACACTGACACCTCGTAATGATGAGGGTGGGATCTCTGAAAGAGCACATCAAATTTGATACATAATTTAATAATCTTTCCTCCCATTCATCTGGATTCTGTGTCTGATTCACCAAGATTATCAGCAGCCGGTTTCAGCAGAAGAAGGAACAGTGTGAGAAGCAGCGTCGAGGACACGACGGGCTGGTCAGGTGTTATCTCCTGTGAGAAGGAACACGGCGCAGTTCCTCGTTTCAGATAACTCTACACTTGAGCAGTTCTTCACCTTCCTTGTTGGAGCCAGCTGCTTGACTGATGTGTGATAAACGGGTGACAGCAATCTCTCTTACAGGGATTTACTATCAACTCTGCTGTGTAAACCTCTTGCTAGAAACAACCCAAGTACTCAAGGAGTGCAAAGTGTCATCAGTCCGCTTATCCCTCTGCACCGCACATGCTGGAGGTGACTTCTCTTTCTGCCCTGTGTTCTCGGTCCAGGCTGCTCGTTCAGGCTCTGTCCAGGATGGAAAACACAGGCTGCGTGGCTGCAACCATCGCGAACCCGCTGCCACCCACAGCAAGGCTTCATTCCCTGCTCCAGTGTCGGTGAGGATTTCATACTCTGATACAGACATTCAGTCACTTACAATATCACACCCACGCGGGAAGTTCATGTATCAGTGTCAGAACTGCTTCCCAAAACTCACCAAAGCGGACTTCCCCACACCTCCTGAACCAAGGACCACTAGCTTGTACTCACGCATGGTGTGGTCTGTTCAAAGAGCGGCGACCTGCAAAGCAGGAAAAAGCCAAGGGTTAGAAGCACACCTGCACAGACAAATGGATGGCACCGTCTTCCAAAAGCAGCAACCCCCTCCCCTTCTCCAAACACTCCTGAGAACAAAAATCTCTTCAGTCCCAGCTACGGTTTTTATTTTTCCACCTGGGCACTCCAGTTGAGATGGCCGCTCTGACAGCCCTGGTTTACACGAGATGCCCAACGCCAGACCCGCCAGCTGCCAGGGCTGGGAGGAAGAGGATGAACGCGCCGTGGTGCAAACACAGGGCTCCCGCTGCCTGGCTGCTGCTTTCTCAGCATTGGATAGCATCAAACACGGAGTATCGGGCAAGCAAACTAGATCAGGAAGATGCACGTAGAGAGGTTGATCTCCCCCACCCACCCCAGCAGGGCAGGATTTAGGCCAGTATTTTCTCTCTGGAAAAGGTCAAGCCCAACTCACAGCTGCCAAGGCAGAATCTCCGCGCTCGCCCAAGCGAGGGCTCTGCCTTTTTATGGAAATCTTGCAACTCCCTCCACTCCCTACGCAGCACCAGAAAACTTCTCATTCTCACCGAGATTCCCTGACAAATAAGGCAAATGACAAAGGCGGTGATAAACATTTTACACTCTGTTTACATTAGGAGCCAGGCTGGGCTGTCCCTATCACCCAGCCCAGGCAAACAATGACCTCAGCAGCTAACCATCCCCCTTCCCGGGAAGATAGCGCTTTCTTCCCAAGTAAGGCTTCGGAAACACGAGCGCTATGAGGCTGGGCACGCCGCATCTCTCAAAGGCATTTCAAACTAACGTTGCCGCAGGATTTATGGGTTCACAGGCTACAGTTTGAGGATGGCTTTAAAAATAAAAGTATATTCCCAGTAGTTTGATAGAGAAATGCATCCCCTTGTCGACTACCGTTACCAGCACTCTGCGAAGAACAGGGATCGTATTTTTAGCTTTGCAACTGTGGACAATTGCCTGACAATCAGTGTCTCGAGTTTATATAATCATCGAATCGGGACAGGGTTTTCTCTACCATTTAAATTCCCCAGGGAAAGCCCTAACGCACAGAGACAAGAGGAAACCCCCGTGCTGCCGCCCAGCCACAGCCCGTCCCTGCCAGAGCTGCCGGGGACAGGCACTGGGGACCTTGCCCAAACATCCTCCTTCTAACCCTCGCCCCTCAACCACAGCATGTTTTATGGTCTAAATGTGACACGTGCAGCTTTAAACAACGATTTAAAAAACCCCACGTGCAGCTGGAGAGAGGCATACAAATTCTGCGCCCGCTTTAGCACGACTTTAAGCTCATTTTCAAGTCAGGGCTGGCTTACCCGCGCCGAGCTCTCTGCAGCCCCGCAGCCCTGCCCGAGTCTCAAAGAGGGAATAAAGCTGAAGCTAGCACCGGCAGCCCATCGTTTCTAACTCCTTCGTGCGGTTTTTCTTCAACTCTTGAAACCTATATGAGCTGTAGTTGCTTAACTTCACAGAAATTGTGAAACTAAGTCAAACCGAAAGGGACTTTCTGGAATGGTAACTCTGAGTATCTGAACGCAGAGCAAGCAATGGCTATGCACCCCAGTACGCTGACAACATTTTTGGTTAAAATTCTGGCAGCTGTAAGCTCTTCTGCTTGAAAATTCCCCTAGGAAGTAACATTCAGTTCCTTTTTTTCAAAAATCATTATTTTGGATGGGAAGGAGAGGGGAAATCCAATTAGCCATGCTTTCCCCTTGATAATCCTTAGAAATTAAAAGGCAGTGCATTTTTTATGAAGTGTAAATGCAACCTATTGATCTAGTTTATCTTCATCTTCCTACAGTTCCACAATCTGTTCCACCCAAGAAAACCCAGAAAGCGATGAAGCTAAGGGTTAAATTTAGCTGTGAACTCTTTCACTTCTTATTTATAGTAAAAATACTTGTGGGAAAGTTTCAGCTGGGAGCAGTACAAGCCTAACTTCTCATTTCTTCTCTACAGCATTTGCTGATTTTTTTTTTTTTCAGGTGCAACAGGAAACCAAGATCCTGAAATGCATGAGCCTTATTACTGTAAGCCCCACACGCCTTAATTATCTTGTAGCTCTTTCACAAGTATGCTAATGTTATCTGTTTATACAACACGGACAGAGTGCTCGAGAAATTACTACGCTGCGTCCCGGCCAACTGTTCACTTGGCAAGTGCTCATGCCCACCTAACGACAGCCAGACGCAGCAGCATTCATTTCCATCCAGAGCTCTGGGGAGTGGAGTCGCGTGCTGTGAAGCAGCGGCTACGTTTCGAAATGGAATGAAATTATGGGGGTTAAGTGTTTCTTTCGATTCAAGAAAAGAATATGATCACTAAGAAGTGTAAAAAAAAAAAAAAAACAAACTTCTAGTGTTATCATAAATCCTGTTGAACCGGCCTCATTAGTTCTGAATGCTGTGTTGCAAAAAAAAAAAGCAAACGCTGGGCATGTCTCCTTGCTGGTGCTGCCGTTCCCCATGCACACACAGCCAGCAGGCACCGGACCGAGCACGTCTCATATTCACCAACCCATCGCTGCCCGGAGCGGCAGGCTCCCTCCTCCTCGCTGCATCCACCTCTCCAGCCCACCCACCACCCCCTCCCCAGCCACTTTAAATACAGAGCAATACATTAGCAGGGTTCAGAGATTTTTTTTCCTCTTCCCTTCTTTCTTCTTTAACAGGAGCATGTCACCAGCCCTGCCTGGGAGGTGGCAGAAACAGACACTCGGCTGTCACAGCACAGCCCCGAGATGCCCAGCTCCTTCCCGCAGGAAGAGTGAAGGGCCCTACCCCGGGAACAGATGGAGAGGTGAGGAAAAGACGCAGGATATGTGTTTTAACGTACAGAAATGAAAGGCAGTGCAGGCAGGACGGCAGGAGGCTGTGCGAGAAGGACCAGCAGCTGGATGCAAGCGCAGATGAAGCTGTAACCTGAACCACGAGCGCCCGCTCACCGGCATCTCTATTCACCCAGGCACTTGCGCGCTCCCTTCGCCGCACGGATCATCTTTCGCCCTGTTGCAAGCGAGTGGCTGAACCGGGGTACGACGCAGCAAAGCTTTCAGGGTATTTCCCAGCCAGCGGAAGACGCCAGGCAGCGGCTGCGGGGAGAGCGGCCGAGGCCCCAGGAGACAAACCTGATGCAAGAATCAGCTGCTCCTGTTACAAACGCTTCACCAGCTCGTCAAGGAGTGTATAATTTGGGTGGTGGGGAGAGAGAAGCATAAATAAAGAAGCGAACAGCACTGAAAGAGAGCGGGTGCCAGAACTTCACGCTAACCTGAGATGCCACGTGCAGCCTGGGCAACGCAAGCGCCCCGGTACAATTTCAAACATCTGAAGAAGGCAGTGTGTATTTATTAGTTTCTCCTCCCCTCTCCACACACTGATGGAGCTGTGAGTAACTGGAGGTGCAGACGTGCTGCTCAGTGGTAAGAGCACGTGGTCTGACGGTTTTGCATAACTTGAAACATTGGCCATAACTGATGACACAATCTCCATTAAGTAAGATGCTAACAAAAGACTTAAAAAAATAAAAATCAGAGCAGACACATTCTTGACTCAGCCTTAAAAACTGCGGACTGTAATAGATTTGTATTTTATACACTAGCAGAGGACATCAGGAAAGACAGAACATGAAACTTCAGGGTTTCTTTTCCCCACTACAGGAAAGAAGATTCAGGCAACTTTTTATTTTCAACGATGCATTACACACTTCTCAGTTCTCAAATCTCCCCAACTTTTCACAGTCAGCAATTTCATTTTAAAAATATTGAGAACATTCAAAAACTCATACCTTGGCATACAAGATCTCTCATCAGTGTTAGCAGCCCTACTGAAGGTTTTTCCAGGCTCCCTACAAGGGACTGAAAAAAAAAAAAAAAAAAAAAAGAGAGAATTACTCATTTTTCAAATGACAGTGTATGTAAGCATCAAATCTTCTCTTTATGGTTCCAAACCAAAACATGCCTGTTACAAAATTTGTTCTTTGCTTTATCAACAGAGCTCTATGCAATTTCCGAATACTCAAATCAAATTACCTTAAAAACAATAATTCCAGCACAATTTCACCTTGCCTCTAGGACAGTGAAAGATCAGGGAGGGTCGGGTGGAAGCCAATGGCAAACACAATTTCTACTTCATTGTGTCATTAAAAAAAAAAAAAAAAGCTTTACAAACGGGACTTGCAGCTAAGGTAAACCATAGGAACATGACATGCAATTGAACTTTCTTAGGTGAAAAGTAAAAATAAAGCTCACAGCTGTCAAGTTCCCATTTCTGTTTAATGCAGGACCGCACCGGCTTTTGGAAGCGAGAAGTGGACCTTGTCCCGGTGCTGTGCAGCTGCTGGAGCAGCTCAGCCACCCAATCTCTCACATCCAGTCACGAAGCTTCAGTCCCGAAACAGAGTGACCACGGCTGACGAGTCCCGTTTGCAAGAGCCAGCACACATCCACCGCCCTGCGCGGGCGGGTGGGACCAGACGCAGTCGTGCTGCGAAGCCAAACGCTCCTACAGCTCCACGGCAGCAGCGCCGGATCCTGCTCTGGCTTATTTCCTTATTTTCCTCTACCAGATGTGATAGCAATAAAATACAGTCTGCAGACACAGTAGGGAAAGATTGCCATCGCAGGGAGAAGTACTTCTCTCTTCTTGCACACTGTTCTCAAATCATTATCTACATAGCTTGTCTGTTGTTTTCTTTACATCCGTTTTTACTGGATTTATGCAAAGGTGCCCCTTCTGTCCACAATCCCCTGTACCTGCCATTTGATAACTGCTTTTGCACAAAGCTCACACGCATTTCCAAAGTCTCACCTTTTCCCCTTTCCTCTGGCAACACCTTCTACCTCGACACCATGGATTTCATCCCCCAATACACACCAACGGCTATCCTCTCCCGATTTCTGACCATTCATTGTTCGGCTAACCCAGGGGTGGGGATCTTTAAAGAACAGTTCAATGACCAGCTCCTACTGGAAGTCAGCAGGATTTGGGCTGGCACATCCCCTCTTCCACCTTACCTGGACCCCCTCCCCGCCGCCCTCGCACCTGCAGCACGCTGTGCCTGCGCCGGCGTGGGAAAGCGCTACCCCAAAACCCGGGGAAATGCACTTCTGAAGAACAAGCTACAGATGACAGATCAGCAAGGATACTTAAAACCTGAGTCAGGACTAAATGAGTCAGAAGGCTGCGGCTGGGCTGAGAGGCGAGGGGGAGGCAGGGCAGAGGGGGAGGCATCTGCTCCTCGGCATCTCCCAGCGAGGCTGCTGGGCAGGCGCTGGCACTGCGGGCAGCTGAAGCAGGGCTGGAAACGCCACCGAGGAGTCCGGCTGGGCACCCCCAGCACACATCCAATAGGGGGGTTTAAACAGGCACGGATGCTTTTTAACAGATTAACGGCCTCCAGCCATTCTGACAAACCGGATTAATCCAACCCTCGCCCGAAAGCCGGCTGTGACGACGGATCTCCACGTGCTCAGGAGCTTCCCACGCTGTCCAGGTTCTTTCCTCCTCTCCCCCAGTTTGTTTTTCCCACAACAAAAAAGATAATTTTCTTCTGCAGGAGAGATGGGCGCTGCTTAAGTCAAATCACCACGTTACTGTTGGATGCGGAAAGATTTACGATGACCAAAATCATCTTTCTTTCTTGTAAGAAACACACGGTGCCTGTGCAACTGCCGCACCTCTGCAGCCGAGGGCAGGAGCCCCGCCGCACGCCCCCGCACACCAGCGCCAGGCAGGAAACAGCAGCGCTGATGCTATTGGGGTCTCTCTGAACGAATCCGGCATCCTGTCCCAAATCCGCCATCCTGTCCCGTACCTCTCCTGCTCGCACCCGAGCCCTGCCATGCCCCAGCCCCTGCCTCTCGCCCCGCCAGCCCCACGCTGCAGCGGGACAGGCTGTCCCCCCCAGCCCTGGGGGTGACAGCACAGATGTCATGCGTGTGACACTGCTCGAAGAGCATCGACAAGCTGAAAAAAGGAATGGGAAGAAGGGTGAGCGTGGAGGTGTACCCAGGCAGGGGATGCAGCATCTCCCTGGTCCTCGAGAGCAGGACAAGTCCCAGCGCCAGCATTCCAGCAGCTCTTGCCGTGAGCATTTGCTCGGATCACATTTTTAAACACCACCTGCAAACAGGGATTTTTTAATGAAAGCGCTGACACTGTCCCAGCTACAGGACTGAAGACAGATGACAACTCTGCATTTGCACTCAAGCAGCACAAGGCACAGCCCCAGTTTAAAAAAGGGCGAGAGCAAAGGAACAGAAGAAAGCGAGGCGCGGAGCGAGCACACCCCAAACCACAAGCATCGGTTCCTGGAGACAACGTGCAACGGCCTCCGAAGGTGCAGCTCCTACGGCCGCGTACCCTGTGACCCTGACACGGATTTTGCTCTCTTCCCCTGAAGGATGCACTGTTGAAGGTGCAGCTCCTACGGCCGCGTACCCCATGACCCTGACACGGATTTGCTCTCTTCCCCTGAAGGATGCACTGTGGTGTCCCTGCGACAGAGGAGAGAGGGGCCGGAGCAAACCCTGCTCGCCCAGCCCTAGAGGAAGAAAAAAAAGAGAATAACCTCCTCCCGAGTGCTGGCTTGCTCATCACCCACACCTCCCCTGTTCTAGCAGTCTGATTTTCACATGCAGAAACCGAAACATCGAACATTTCCAAGGGGAAATGGGCTGTCAGCATTTTAGAGATTTGGGAGAGACCCGTGCAGATGTCTGCGAGAGCTCCAGCACCGCCCAGCGTGGGCTGTGCCACCCCCGCGGCCATCGTCCCCATTGCCCCGAGAGCGGGGCAGACTCCTGGGACACTACAGCCACGTCTCGGCTATTTTTACCCTGGCAGTTAAATACTGAATCATGGCTACTATTAAAAAAAAAAAAAACCTGTTTAATTTTGAACTTGTAAATGTTCTGCATGCCAGTTTTTTAAGTTACTATAAACTAGGAAAAGGGGCGGATTTTTTCTTTTTAAAGTGTCTACTAAACACTGCTCGACACCCTCCTAAAACCCTTCATTACTCAGAGCCGTGTTTGCAAAACAAACTCAAATCCAGCACTTCTGCAAAGGAAAGATTTGCGACGATCAAAATCACACTCACGCTGACAGATCCCCTCCGCAATAAAAAAACCCCAAACAAACACAAAGAATGATGCACAGCAGTGGAGGCTGGAAACACGAGACCCGGGGCTCTGCCCTTGGCTGCACTTGCCAAACCGTAGGTGCAGAGTGCCAGCAGCACCGCGCCGCTTCGGCCGCCCGGCTCCGGCACCGCCGAATGACAGCTCCACTCACCATCTGCTCCCTCGTTTGTTATACACCGTGATCTTAGATATTAAATGACTCAACGAAGTCAAAAGCGCATTAAATACTTCCCTAATATTAATCAAAGCTGTCAACAATCACGCAGTTGTTACATGGGAGCTACGGAAACACTGGGCAGAAGGATGGTGGATCACAAATTAAAGGGTGTTTGTCTGCAAATCACACAATTCATTAACAGGTGGCTCCCCCAAAAAGTAAGGAGACAAACGCTGCCATAGTCTTACCCTGTTAGCACAGAATTTACTTAAATGATAAAAATCACTGCCAGGGGCTCACCTGCCAAGCCCATTCCCCAGGGCACTCAATCTCTTGTCTTCAGGGTCCACAGAAAACCTCCTCCCCTTTCCTGAGGCCACCAACACCACGAGAGGGAGAAGAGACCGCACCAGGCAGGGAGCAGTAATTCAATGTGACTTTAAAGCGCAGTTTGTCAAACTTCCACTCACACCACCTTGGAGTCTGCCTCTGTTTCAATGCTCGTTATCACTGTGGTATCTGCCACCCAAGCAAATGTATTTTATACACTAACATTATATAACAGCACACGCATTTTACACATTATGGCAGGAATCTCGCCCTCAATTTTGCAGTAAAAACATCACCCCTTCCCCTGACTGCTTTCAGCATCAAATCGAATACCAATCAACACGAACAGCGCAGCACCAACTGTGTGCAAGCACAGCCCCCTCGCAGGATGAGTCACTGCCCAACGGCAGGGTACCTCCAGCCAGTCCCTCCAGCTTTAGAGGCTTTTGCTCTCCTCAATTTAATGCAAGCCAAAACTTGAGGTTTTTTCATGTAAAACCAAGGAAAACATTTTGGTTCCAGGCAAGAGTTTACTTTGCCAAATCAACCTGTTTGCACTTCGGTGACTCCAGCAGCAGAACACAGGTTAGGCTGGACATTCAGAAGCAGACGCACTCCTCCGGGGAAGCCCAAGCACACCGGAGAACCGAAGCAACTCATCAATGAGTTCCAACTCCCTACAGTAAGATCTGGGAATGGAACCCAATCCCAGACCACCTCTGTGCTAAAAAGCATCTTAGTAAAGTCACTATCAACTGAATTCTCTGTGATTAGTGGAGAGTATTTCACTATTGTAACATGGTCATATTTTACATGAGAACTTTCACCAAATCTTGCTGTGCTCCTCCGAATCACATCCAGATCGCCCGTTTCTGCCTAGTTTCCCGTCTTCCGCGGTGCATGGCGAAGGTGGCTGATGCAGGGCCAAAGCCATAAAAGCCTGGGCTAAGAGTAAAGTCCTCCAGCAACAGAGCCGTCCTTTCTGCCTCCAGCGTCGTGCTGAACTGGAGCACTGAGCAAATGAACTACACACACAGACAGTCATAATCCTCTAACTTTAAAAAGTGGCTTTATGCACAACCCTATTGAGATTGATCTTCCTCAGCCTGTAACCTTTTCTGCAACCAGCTCCACACTGAACTTGCAGTTTAACTTTCATCATGTTTGCCTCTGCGGAAGCGACTGTAAACGCTTTGCTGCAGCAGCACTGCCGGCAAGGAGCG